CTTCCTCATACAGCCCATAAGGCCCTCCGGGAGAGGTGGCCCCTCCCAGTGGACCCTCGGAACCCCTCCGGTGGCCCCGGTACAATACCGATATGCCCCCGAACCTTTCCGGCGACCGTATGATAACTTCCCATATATAAATCTTTACCTACAGACCATTTTGGAACTCCTCGTGACATACGGGATCTCATCCGAGACTCCGAACAACATTCGGGTTACTGCATATTCATATCCCTACAACCCTAGCGTCACTGAACCTTAAATGTGTAGACCCTACGGGTTCGGGAGACATGTAGACATGACCGAGATGGCTCTCTGGTCAATAACCAACAGCGGGATCTGGATACCCATGTTGGCTCCCATATGCTCCTCGATGATCTCATCGGATGAACCACGATGTCGAGGATTCAAGCAACCCCGTGTACAATTCCCTTTGTCAATCGGTACGTTACTTGCCCGAGATTTGATCGTCGGTATCCCAATACCTCGTTCAATCTCGTTACCGGCAAGTCACTTTACTCGTACCGTAATGCATGATCCCATGACCAGACACTTGGTCACTTTGAGCTCATTGTGATGATGCATTACCGAGTGGGCCCAGAGATACCTCTCCGTCATACGGAGTGACAAATCCCAGTCCTGATCCGTGTCAACCCAACAGATACTTTTGGAGATACCCGTAGTATACCTTTATAGTCACCCAGTTACGTTGTGACGTTTGGTACACCCAAAGCACTCCTACGGTATCCGGGAGTTACACGATCTCATGGTCTAAGGAAAGGATACTTGACATTGGAAAAAGTCTAGCAAACGAACTATACGATCTTGTGCTATGTTTAGGATTGGGTCTTGTCCATCACATCATTCTCCTAATGATGTGATCTCGTTATCAATGACATCCAATGTCCATAGTCAGGAAACCATGACCATCTGTTGATCAACGAGCTAGTCAACTAGAGGCTTACTAGGGACATGTTGGTGTCTATTTATTCGCACATGTATTACGATTTCCGGATAACACAATTATAGCATGAATAAAGACAATTATCATGAACAAGGAAATATGATAATAATGCTTTTATTATTGCCTCTAGGGCATATTTCCAACATCTAGGGCATATTTCCTTCATTTTGGTACACACATTTTCCACCAGGCCATCCAGTGCATTCTCTTCTAGTTCTCCTCGTCTCCCCACCAGAAATGCGCCATCGTGTCAATGATTCCTTTACAAACCTTTTTAGGAATTTTAAAGACCGACAATGCATAGGTAGGTATGGCTTGGATCACGCCTTTAATAGGATCTCCTTCCCTCCGGCAGATAGTAATTTTTCCTTCCAACCACTAATTGTCTTAACAATACGTTCAATCAGAAAACTAAAGCCGTCTGTTTTATCAACACCCACATTTGCTGGTAAGCCCAAATATTTATCAGTGAGGGCCTCCGTCATTATATTTAGCATTGTACACAATTGTTCTCTGATCTCTACCTTTGTATTAGGGCTGAAGAAAATACTGGATTTTTCAACGCTTACCAGTTGTCCTGACGCCGCACAATATAAATCTAGTACTGTTTTCAGGTTTTCTGCATTACGTTGGTTGGCTTTCATTAAGATCAATGAGTCATCCGCAAAGAGAAGATTTGTGACCGGTGGGGCATCTCTACAGACTTTTACTCCTGATATGTTTCCATTCTCCTCAGCATGCACAAGCAAGGCATTCAATACTTCAGTGCACAGCAAAAAAAGGTATGGTGATAGCGGGTCCCCCTGTCTCAACCCTCTCGTAGGCTTAAATCTCTCACTTTCCTCTTCATTGATCCTTACTTTGTATTCTACGGTTGAGACGCATTTCATAATCAAGTTAACCCACTCACGACGAAAGCCCAGTTTCAACATAATCTCCTTCAAAAAAGTCCACTCAACTCTATCGTAGGCTTTATGCATATCAAGTTTTATAGCACACAAGCCCTCTCTACCCTCTCTTTTGTTCTTTATTGTGTGAAAACATTCATAGGCCACTAAAATATTATTCGTTATCAATCTACCCGGTACAAATGCACTCTGTGTTGGGCTAATAATTTCCGGTAAAAAAACCTTCAATCGAGAGGCCACCATTTCTGCAATTATTTTATATAGCACGTTACATAAGCTGGTCGGCCTAAATTGAGTTACCTTCTCGAGTGTATTAATTTTAGGGATCATCACGATCGCCGTATCATTCCAACCCTCCGGTATAGTGCATGTGTTGATTGCTGTCAGGACCTCCTCAATTAAGTCTTCCCCCAGCATGGGCCAAAACCTTTTATAGAAGATAGCATGGAGTCCATCTGGCCCTGGAGCTTATGTACGACACGTGCGAGGAGACAAAACGGGACGGATGCGGTCACCAGTTACGTCCGGGCGTCCGGTTACTGTTCCATTCCGTGAACTTTGATCGGAAAATTCGTAGGCTTTTAGTCAAATCATGGGGGTATTCGTCTTTTTTTTAAGTTATTATTACAAGTATTCCCTCTAAAGAAATGTAAGACATTTCAGCTCGGTATTTGTCATTGGTATTCAGGTGGGAAGAACTCACACTTTAGCGCCATTCCCTCGCTAAATGCGTTGTGGTTGAAGAACATCGTCTGTGTGACCACTTTGCGGGGTTCTAAAGGGCGCTATCCCATGCGAAGGAATTCTTGCCAACAGACATAACAGTTTGAGTGGTCAATGTTCTCCGTGCTCTACTGATTGTGGGAGTAAACGATGAGGCTTATGTGCAAAGTGGGAATAGAGTATCTATGCTGGGAATATCATTTCATGAGCAACGGTGTGGTCGCATGCTACCCTGGAGTGGGCTGGTGTGAACTTCTCGCGGTCATCAGTTGGGGCCAAATTTAGTGTTTTGATCCTCTGTGGAAAGGTTAGCCGGATTTGACCCCTTTTTTTAAAAAAAGGATCTGACCCCTTTTACAATTGGGGGGCGCTGGCGGTAGGGGTATAACAGCCTACCATCAAGGACCATGGCGGTAGGCCACTTATCCACGTCAACGCCGAGATGGCTCCACGACGAGAGAAGTAAGCTCCTTCAATCCCTCCAAGTAGTTTTAGCCAAAATGTTTCCGTTTTGATGCATTATTTGGCACAAGATGAACCCTAGTTCATCTAGTAGTTTTAATTTTTGTTGATCCTAGGTTTATTTAGTTTGATTCTGTATGATGGATGTGTTGAAGATGAACTCTAGTTTACATTGGTCTATGTCAAGTTTTTATCACTTACTTTGAGCCTACTAGTCATAATCATAATCTAGTATAGTATTTGTCACTGCTATATCCATAACCATAATCTTGATCCATATCATGTTTTTGTTTATTTGTTATTGCATAAGTTCATGAACCGTTGTCGCAAACTAGTGGGCATGCTTGGGTGTGTTAGCTCGGTTGATGTGCATGTTCCTTCGACACGTACCCTTGCTTCATCTAGCTGTGCCGGCGGAGGTTCCTCTAGCCATGCCGCTCAACCAACCTAGGGCAAGAGGCTATCTCATCCACACAAGGATGTTTTGAGCCCATCACCTTTCCAGAAAGAACATCCTCTTCGCCGAGCAACAAAGCAAGGCCCACTCAAAGAGAAACGAGGGTGTACCGCTAAGAGGGGGAGGAAGACCAAGTGATATGGTCATATGTGGAACTACTCGCTTTGTGTTGAGCTCAAGGAGAACTTGTTGGCTATGTTCAAGTACTTGCTATCGTGGATTTGTTAAACAATTTGCTATGTTGAACTAGTTAAACCATTTGACTATTTGCTATGTTGAACTACCATTTTATATCAATGTGTGATGCATGTTATGGTGTGTGAGATCATAATAGTTTGATTTGCAAAATATATTACTCTGTGATGAATTTTTTGAATTAAAATGATTAAGTTTTGAAGAAAGAGAATAAAAATTTAAATGGGACAACACCCTACCCTACCGTAAAAAAGTTTCGTTTTCAGATACAGTAGTTTTACCCTTACTGTACCACCCCACCGCTGTAGTCCCTGGCGGTAGTCGTAAATAGCCTACTGGCGAGCAGCCTGGCGGTAGGTTTGCACTGCGTACCGCAGGGATTTAACCTAGGTAGAGTAGGG